GATCTCCTTCGGTCAACCCAATTGACTCGGTCTGGTGGTCTAGCTCCATTGCTTTGGAATCGAACTCTTCATTGTCCGGCTTGCTGTCAATTTCAGCAGCTTTTCCGGACTTCGACTGGCTTTCTGAATCTGCTGCTTCCGAAGATGATCCGACCTTTCCCCCTACTGCTTTTTCATTAGGTGGGGTCCCTTGGCCGAAGCACTTAAGGCTTTTCCTGCTTCTTAGTGCTTCGGTCCTTTTCTTTTTCTTTTTCATCTCCGTCTTCGTCCTCATGGTAATCCTTTGAGGGCTAGACGGAGTTGTAGTTGCATTTGTGGGAAGCCTCTTGGCTCCCCTGGATCCTTTCAGCGGAGCCTTCATCCGAAACGTATATCATTAGCTGATGATACGTGGAGACGACTCCTTAAGACCTGATGACCAAAAATTCGGACATTAATGACCAAAAATTCGGCCATGATGTAAACTGATGGGACATTAATGACCGAAAATTCGGCCATAATGTTTCTTGCTGCTCGGTCTTTGCCGATGGTGATGGGAAGAGTAATTTTCCCGTCCGAGTAGGTCGAGGACCCGTTGAATCCACTGACTGGACAGGGCATTGGACTCACGTCCTTGGTCTGAAGCTTGAGGCGGTCATAGGCATCCCGAAATAGGTTGTTTGCCGCACTGCCGCCATCAACGAGGGTTTGCCAGACGTTGTGGTTATCAATTCTCGTGATGATGACCAGCGAGTCATCATGGAGGTACGCTACTCCCTGACAGTCTTCGGCTATGAACGTGTTGTTTGGAACCGAGGATTTGGGACCTCGTACTGAGGCATAGTTGACCTGGTGAGTTAGACCCTTCAGGTGGCGTTTACGAGCCTTGCGGGAGTGCATCCCCACGGAGATGACAAGAATGTCAGGATTTTCTCTGTCCTATGGCTTATCCTTCTTCTAGTTATAATCAAGCTGTAGCCGAGTGTCTTGCTCGGCTTTCTTTTCCTCGCGACGATCTTCAATCTTATCCTTCAGCTGGATACACTCCTCGGTGTTGTGTCCATAAGCGTCATGGAATTCACACCACTTGTCCTTGTTTTTTCTTTGGTGCCACGATGGTGGCGCCCTCGGCTTTTCCTACTTCTCATCGTTCTTCGTCATGCTATAAAGTTTAGCACGTGGAAGAGCGAGCGATGTGTAGGATTCATACTTTCCTAAGAATGGGGTTTTCTCTTTCTTCGACTTAGGTGCCAAAGTTCTGAGGCTTTCATCTTCTCTTTCCTTTGGCCCTGGCCTTCAGACTGCTGTCCTTTGGTCTTACCAGTCCCAGGTTAGGACTTGGCCTTATTCCATTCCTCGGCTCGGATGTATTTATCCGAGGCATCAAGGGCTTCCTCCAAGGTCTGCGGGGTATGCATGACCATGATGTCGAGAAATGCGAAGACGACCAGCCCTTGATCCAGATTTGTAATTCTGGAGGACTCGTTGCTGAACCAGGTCAAGTAATCCCGGAGACTTTCTTCGTCTCCCTGCTGCAGGCTCATAAGGTCAACAATGGTTTTCTCTCGACGGTTTGCCGTAGAGAATTTGCTTTTGAATTTGTGGGAGAAGTCTTCCCATCCGGTGATTGACCCCTCCTCTACCCTCATGGTGATCCAAGCTTATGCGACTCCCTTTAGAGTTGTTGGAAAGTATTTGCACCAGGTTGCTTCGGATAGGGGGTTCAGGTACATGTGCCCTTCGTAAAAGGCTATATGTTCCTTTGGATCAGAAGTTCCATCATAGGTAATGTGTGTTGGGATCTTCACGGTTGGCACTTTCTCCTCTAGGATCCATGAGACAAACGGACTTGGAGGGTGTCATTACTGCTTTCCCTTTAGTCCTAGTCGTTTGGACCTCGTTTCCCCTTCTCTGGGAGGTGCAAGTGGTTTTTGTCCTCGGCTGGGACTATGAAGGATAGGGTTGACCTTCGTGAGGGTATGTTAGGCAGCTGTGAATGCTCACCACCCTCGAGTCGATACGTTCGTGGACGTTTCGGCGAACAGCTTCAGGTCGCGCGGACGCGGTGTTACTGCTCTTGAAGCTTCGGGTTTCGGATTCCTAAAAGAACTAGGGGTTCCTTTTTCTTTCCTGCTCAGTCCTCCAAGTGCCCTCTTCCCAATGCTTCCCTAGTTCTTTATGAGATGGAGCTCGTCCTCCATCCTCTTGACCTATCCTCCTTCTCATATTTCTCGGCTGCTTAATCGTGTCAGCATGCACCGAGGAGATGGGAGGTGGGACTTACTGGTTTGCTTGGGCCTTCATGAAGTTCATGAAGACCGCGAGGGCTTTTGCCACCTCTTCCAATGTGGGACCCGTCTGGGGTGTCACCTTCGGATGAGACTGAGAGTGGCGGCTAGGAGTTGGACTCTAGCATTAGAGTGGCTTGGCCGGCGAGAGCTCGACGACTGGCCTGTGTTGTAAGATGGTCTTTTAGGTGAGGCTCTCTCGGATGAGGCAGCCTCTGAAGGCGAAGAAGTAGAACGACCCTTCTTCGCGGTGGAAGAAGAAGGATTAGTCTTTTTTGCACTCTTAGTCATGTTGCTAAGCGATTGGATTTTTGGCTTGTTTTTTATTGCCTTCCCCATATACGGCGCCAAATTGTTTTGAGTACAAACGATAGGTCCTTCGGCCGGACCTGAACAGTGGGCTGAAGACTAGACTCGGCCCCCCAAGGGATGACTGGGACGAGGATTTCCTGCACAGCGAACACACGTAAATTGGCCTCGAGGGTTGTGCCGAGGAAGGCCCCTCCGATGCCGAAGTTAGTACAGTGTGTTTCTAAAGAGAGAAAGCTGTCAAGAGTATTAATTGTTTGAGACTTAATATGAATAGATGGAAAGAGAGAGAAGTCAAGGCTTTTGTACCTTGTTCTAATCGCTTTAATGGGCTCTTGAGTCATATGGGCTTACCATGTTGACTGACTGCTTTTGACTGACTTGGCATGCTTGTTGGAGAGTTGAACCTTTTTGAGACTTGATTAAATCATTTGTGGACTGGCCCAATTGGAGTAAATTGGACCCAAACACTTCGTATAGTATATATGTAATGTGACTTGCTAGAAAATTAAGTATTAAAGTGTGAGATGAGAGCAATGACAAAAAAAAAATTAAAATAATAATAATAATAATAATAATAATAATAATAATAATAATAGAGTGAGATCCATGATAAGAGATAAATAGTTTAATATGTAATCCTTTTGTCCTTTTTTTTTCTCCATTGCCAATATTTGAATCAAACTTTAAAAACTTTGACAATTAATTCCCATTATTGTACAAAAAGTAATATAGTCATGAGGATCTTATTTGATTCGTTTCATTGTATATTTTAATTAATATTAATTTTTTATTATTGTTACGTGTATGAAAATGGAGATATAAACGTCCAAATACGTGTCAATTATTGTGAGACAGGGAATAATATTTTTAGGTGAAGAGAACATAACCTTAGAAAGAAAGAAAAAAAAATTATTAATAATAATAATAAATAAAAAATACTTGTAAAGTTCAACAATAAAATTGACTACGTCTAATTACAATACCCTACCCACCCTGTTCTAAATTATGTATACATTAGCCTTTGCACTAGGCGCTAAGTGGTTTTATGGTTAAAGAGATGGGAGTAAGTGGGACAAGTTTTTAATTGAATAAGAAATAGTATAGACCAAGCCTTTTTACTCCCATCATCCCTTTTTTTGTTTTCGTTGTATTATTCTTTGGGGTGCCCTTTAAGACTAATCTATTATCCATTTATCAACATAACTTACCCCCTGCGCATAATTTTATTTTCTTGTTTCTTACAAAATAATAAATTGATCTATGGGGCAACAAAAAGGACTGAGGGAGCAACCCCGTTTATGAGAGCTTCTTGATGTTTCGAGACTTGTTAGAGAGCTAGCTCAATTAAAAACTTATGCTAATAGTTGAGGCTAAAATATTGGTTTAATACTTCTATTATATTCCTTCACATTAGAGCATGTTGGGCTTGAAATATGGATGTCACATTAGCTGAATAGAAGAAATTTGAACTCATGGCCTTCTTATACTAGCTTTTGAAACTATGTTAGAGGATTAGCTCAACAAAAAACTTAAGCTAATAATTAAGACCTAAAATATTGGTTTTATACTCTATCAAGAACTATTGTAGCGTATATCAGTCGTGTCTCTAGTTTTGGTGTTACAACGCACAGTTTTGATGCCATGCACACATATGTTATTTAGAAACCCCTCTTCGCCTAAATATCCTTCATTTTCACTCATACTGGGGTGGAAAATTTTGATAATCTTTGGATAAGATATACTTATTTATTCTCATTTTCAGTCAAAATTGATCTTCTTTTTTCGAGATTATTAGGCATACAAATATACGGTTGGTTGATTTATTAAGTAATCTCTCCCAAAGCTTAATCAAAGATCTTCACCAAAGTAGTCACGAAGGAATGCAAATTCTTAAATAGACCGGGATCACATTAATTTATAGCAAATTCTTGTGTATAATGGGTGTACATTAATTTTATTATAAAACGGTCAGTTTGAGCGTAACTTTAACTATTTTTATGGTAACTTTAACCACTTAAAGGGTAACTTTTAATTTATCATTGGTTTAAATTTTATTTTAATGTATAATTTCTTATAGATACGTGATTACATACTATAAAGACTAATATGATTAATCTAATACATTATAAGTTTTTTGTAAGATAAAATTTATTAATAGAAAAATAATAACTTTTGCAGTATAAATGGTAACTTTAAGTACTTTTAACATAACTTTAACCCATTTTACAATAAATTAACGTACACCCATTATACACAAGGCTTTGCCATAATTTATAGTTAACCACTATAATTAAGGACACTACGGTCGCTATATTAATTTTTTTTTTTTTTTTAAAAAAAGTCACTATATTAAAATAAAGATTATTATTATATTAAAATAAAAGCCATTGTGTTAGTATAAAGGTCATAAGAAGTTAAATATTTTTTTTTTTTTTTTTTTTTTTTTTTTTTTTTATGTCTCGAACAATTTGTTTACTATGATACATATATTTCATAAATAAATTTGTTTAAAGTAAAATTTACTTAAAAGTGTATTGATTTTGCATGGAACGGTTCCTAAATTACTATACCCTCTTTTTCATATTATTTTTCCTACTGATCAGTTTTGTTTTGTAAAGATTTCAAGTGGGAAGAAAAAGAATGGAATGGAGGGAGTACCATTTACTACCACACATAAAAACGCATTTGCGAAATTGAGATTGATTTTTTTATTTTTTTAATAAATTTTAATGGCATGCTAATTAAAAAGGACTCAAAATAAATAGTCATATTAAAAACATGTATTCATAATGTCGTTTGTTGATCAATGTATAGAGTTTAACTACTACCTCCGTTTTTTTTTTATTATTTGCAATTTTGAAAGGGTAACGCCGACTCCTGCAAAATTTGTTTGCGAAAGTTAAATAGACAAAAAGACAGATATGCATGTGATTAGGAGAGAAATAGAGAAAAATGACACTTTAAAAGAAAAGAAAACATTTGTGGTTAAATAATATGAAACATCCTTTTTTTTTGGCAAATGATACAAATAATGAAATAGAGGTAGTAGTAGTTGAAGATGTTAAACAAAGTTCAAAACCTCAAACGTTCGTCTGTCTACATTAGTATACTTTTGAGCTCACTAACTCAAGACCTACACTAGTGACACCGTAACAATTGCCAATATGAAATATTCTAAGAAACTGCCTTTCATCTATGAGAAGTTGCAAAAACTACTACGTAATTTGGCAATTGCACTTACCCTAATGCTTCTTCTGTACATTTTTCTCAACAGTGATAAGAATCACAAGAAATTACTTACTGTTACATGCAATTATGCAAACTCAAGACACAAGGCTTCCGGTTCCCAGAGTCTCAACAAATTCTTTCGGTGACGAAAGCTACCCAAGCTCACATGTATATACCTGCGTCTACAACAAAGTGTAGTTAAGAGAGCGATCATTATGTTAAGATTTACTTCCAGAAAGAAATGGTGCAATTACCAAATTAAAGTTTTGCAAAGGCCTCTTCAGAAAGTCCACCGGCTGATAATGTTGACAACTCAACAATTGTGTTGCATCATCATGATTTACTATAGGTAGCAATATTCATAAATGTTAAAACAACAGGTGCAATTTCTGCATGGAAAATGGAAGGTGAAGCAAAGGAATAACAGAAAAACAAAAGAGGACTAAATTAGGCATAACAGAACAAATAAATGAGAATTAACATCAGACTAACTCCTGAGTTTCCACTTTCCACCATCCAAACCAAAAAAGTAAAAGAATGGGGCAGCTAGATGAGTCGCTATTAGATTATCTAGCATGTTAAACAATTAAAAAAAGCTTAACTACGAGCTTAATCTTTATTCTTCAAGTACTTGTAGGGCAAAATAGCATTGATAAAAGCTTGGACTTTCAAAGATAATCACAAATTAATTTAACAGAACAGCCATATAATCATACACAATTAACACAAAGCAGGACAAGAAAATATTTAGGTTGGCCAAGATGTATATCAAAAGTCGTTAAGCATGATGATAAAATCAATTTCTCAGTGAGCACCACAATTAACATTTTTTTGATTAAATATACTTAACCACTATAAACTAATATAGGACATGTGTCTTAGGTAATTACTAGGTTACATAGTTGAGTGACGGGGAAAGCAAAATAAACAAGATGAAATCAAGATTAGCCAACTTGTTACTAAGATATAATCACCGAGACTTCTAATGCTAATGTATTGCGGGCAATTACTTGATCCACAGGTGAGTCAGAAACAAGTTTCTCCAAGAGAGAGAAAATCTCACTTTCATTTGACATGCTCAAATCATTGCTTGAATATAAAGAGCAAAATTGAGTTCATAAGCACCTAATTACAAGCATATTGGATTCTTACTCGCCTTCATGTCTTATCAAACACTTATTCTTCATCAGCAGCACCAGCCAACTCCTCTAATTCATCCACATCATCAATAGGAATATCTTCATCATCAATAGAATAAGCGCCTATATAAAAACAACAAAATTGCAATTAGAAGAAAAAAAAAAAACTGCAATAACAGCAGTAGGAAGCACAAAACTAGTTGTCCTCAAGCAAAAGCAACTGTAAAAGAGGTGCCAAACTGACAATCACATTGGAATAAAAAACCTGTAAAACCAGGCAACCTAAGGGCTAAGAATCACAATTCCGTCCCAAAGGACCAAAGGTATAGGCCCAAAAAAATTATTCATTTACAAAAAAAAAAAAAAAAAAAAACCAACCATATAATCCAAGCGTCCCATATGGAAGCTAATGTGCACATTTCAAAACTACATCATCGAAAGGTAAAATCCACAATGCAAACTAATAATGCACATATGATTACCAATCTCCACAATATCAAGACAAAAAAAAAAAAAAAAAAAAAAAAAAAAAAAAAAAAAAGACATCAAGTATAATTATGTATTTTCTCCAAATATGCAAATTATCAACGAGCATTCCCAAGTTTATCACAATCAATTAGCAAGGAGGATGTGCCTTCTTTAGATAATTGATCTCCAAACGAGATTTGCAGGAGGGAAAGAGCATGGATGGAAAGATTTTTGCATTTTTATAGAAAGAACTACAAAAGAAAATACAACAGCATTCCAACTATAGACTTGAAAAATCCTTAAAGAACAAGTTTCTTCAAATCACAAAACATATTTGAGAGTTCCTAATCCAACGGGAAACCACGTATAGAAGAAGGTAGCAAAGAAAAGGATAGAAAATAGTTTCCCTTTGTGAAGGATTCTTAGCAAATGTTCTTTAGCCTTATTGCCATTCATATACTTGATGACAAAAGAGAATAAAAATGATAAACAATTACCCATCAACAAATGGATATGGAGAGTGGAAGAGTGAAGAGGTTAAACGAAGTTGAGTGGAAGAGTGGGATCATGGAGAAAATGACTTGGTTAAAGGGAGTTAGGAAGGATATGAAGCATAAGGATTTGCATGAGAGTGAGGTATTTGATCGTAAGGGATGGAGGAGAAAGATTTTTGTGGATGACTATATGGAATAATCACTTTGGTTCATGTAGCCAACCCCACTTATGGGATTAAGGCTTTCATTGATGATTAAAATGGATATTAAATACTTTACAAGTTTAAGTGATGTGAAAAAATCAAGCAACCATACATGAATGTGGGTTAGGAAAGCTAGTGAAAATAAAGAACTAAAAGAAACCCAAATTTCTTACAGGTTGTAATGAGAGGGAAGTCAAGGAGCAACACTTGGTACTTCTATAGTGGTTGTTCCAAAATCTAGATTGTTTTCACTAAACAATGACTTTTGGAGATAAAGAGAAAGGCGAGATCATTGCAATTACGTAAATTTAAACAAGGAAGGAAGAGCAAAGGTAGGTAGTTTTTGGCAATAAGGGAAATGCAAAGGATGGTAATCTAAAGTTACCGATTTGGAGATTTGCGGCATCATGATGTAATAAATATATTCTCCCCAAACACATCTAACTCGTAAATGCAATGTAAACGAATTATTAACAATCATTAACATTTTCGGTCTAACTTCTCTAGAGTTTTATCTCGGTATCATTATTTGTCAGGTACAAGAAACCAAGCATCGTACAAGAAACCAGGTTAAGCTCACTCCTAAACAACCCTTCCACAAGACCACAGCAATAAAATACAATTCTCGATAAAACTTAAGTTCAACGTCCAATCATACAATCTTGCTATTCACAAAAAATGTTCACAATTTCACATATAACCAAATCACAATAAAATATTTAAACATACTTTTAATAATTCACTTCATCAAAACTAATCACTTCAACACCACCAAAATATTATGCACATAGGAGAAATATATTTTAACTTATATGTCCCTTTCTTACGACATGTTAATAAAAGCAATAAAGCGTAGAGTACTTACCTGAATATACCAAACAATTATTTATTATTCACTAAATAATTCAAGATTAATTACTACAATCTAACGTTTAACCACAAATAAATATTAAAAATCACTAAAAACCAAATGCACATTAAAAACATAGTCCAAACAAATGAAATCAACATAAATAACTTGGAAAAAGAAACATAAATCAAATAAACCTCATCACTCTGCCCCAGCTGGATGCAAAAATCACGTGTAAAGAATCTCCACATAACGTTAATTATGAGGAAGTTTGGAGATGAGTGATGAGGACTATTTGAATTATGTATCTCAAAAAATCTTATTTATGTTGATTTTGTGTTTAGGTAATGGTTTTAATGTATGTTTGGTTTTATGAAATTTAGAATGTTGAATTGATTTAATTAGGGCCATGGACTCTAACTTGTAATAAAATTATTTAAATTAGTTTTGGATTTTAATTTGGTTTTTGAAAGTTAGTTTATAGCTGCGTAACTTTTGTAAAATCTTCAGCGTTATCAAGAACTCAAATATAATAGGAATTATATGCTATGTAGTATGTATAGTCACACGAGAGTCACCTTTGGATATTGAAGGAGAGTAACTACTCATCTCACGGGAAGCAATGGAGTTGTCAAGAAGATATGGTAGCTCAAGTAACTTCAAGAGTGCCTCTGTCTGAGGATTTCGATGATGTTCTGTAATCAAAATTTCAATGACCATCAAAGACCAAATTACAGCATTTAACCCCCATCTTGGGTAATAAAGCATAAAAGAACAAGTAGCTATTGTTCAAGTATGGGGAGAAAAAGGGCACCAACATTTCATATGAACAAAAGTGCACTGAAGAAGAACAATATAGAATACGATCCCGTAACCATCATGATACACATAAAATTAGAGTTAAAAAAGAAATAAAATTTACAGAGCTTCTAACAAACACCAATTATTGCCATATTCATGGATTTACCACAAAAGTCCACAATGAGGAGCAATTTGACTATTTGAGCATCTAGGATATTCAAACAAAAAACATTAACATCATGTGTATGATGCAACTAATGACAGATTCAACTTTCAACAAGAGAAGCAGGATGTATTTCTAGCATATGAAAGTTGCCTGTTGTAGACTCTTTAAATTGGAAAATACCCTGAATACCAAAAATTGCTAAGCTCTATACACAATAGATTAAATGTTAACCTGCTGAGGAACCATTAAATACAGATTGAGAGGGATCATGGCATGGAGCTGTTCGTGTGAACTCAAAAGGTTTAACCCCTCTTGTGTTTAGCTTACTCCTGACACACTGACGGGAACCTTCTATGTCAACTTGCACACTCCTTTTTCAGGGAAAAAACAAAAAATATACGTTTGTCAAGGCTTAATCAAAGAGAAACAAGAACATCAACAAATAGAATAAGTAACACACTGGAAATCAGCAGGCCTTGCTGTTATGGGGAAGGCTGCATTGAATGTCCTTGTAATTGCAAGCCACTCTTCATCATAACATATTTCGAACGGTCCAGGGTCTGATTCAATTTCAATAATCTGATGCAAAACTTAAATTTAGCATCACCAATTCCAGACTGTAGATAAATTGGACGACAGGTGGGATGAAATATTCATACCTGTAAAAATTTGCGATTAGGCAAGCACTTGTCAAGTGCAAGAAATTTTGTCATAGAACCCCCTTCACCATGCTGGACAAGGGCAGAAAATTTGCAGTGCAGGTGAGCCGAAAACCAATAGGAAGGTTTTAACTTCTCCAACAGCTTAGCTGCAGGCTTACTACCAAGAGTTCGCTCCTGAATCTGAGATGATGATTGCTTACAAAGTTAAGTCACAGTGAAAATATTGCCATTAACAATGGCCCAATAACTTGCAAGCATTGCTGATAGAAACATACAACATCAAAGATTTCAGCCATCATGCAACTAAATTAAAGAATCATTAAAATTGAATTTAAACTTCTAATTTGTACTATTGTACTCATAATGCAATGAAATTTCAACTTAAATCAGATATTTAATTCAACAGGTTGTTATAACAGTGAGTTTCATATCCTTGCAGGGGAAAATATTTAGCTTAAAGTTGTATTAAAATTGAATTAATTGTGTGACAAGCGTATAAGCTAGACTCCTACAATGCACTAATTCAAAAGTAAAAGACGCTGGTGGACAGGTGCTCAACTCCTACGAGTCATGAGAGAGATAAACCCCTATATGTTCTTTAGGAGTTTAGGCACTGAATAAAAGCAGAATACAAAGTTCCATCCTCGCATAAAATATATTCAGTAACATAGTCAAGATTACCTCTTTTTCAAAAAAAGGCTTCTTCCGGACAAGTTCCCTCCAATTTCCACAATCAGTAATACCAACTGGCCAATCATGTGAAAGGAATATATCAATTGGCTCCTGAACTTGCATAAGCTTGTGAACGTCATATTCACGAACATGGTAGATAGATCGGATATCACTCTCACTGTATGGAGGTCTTTCATAATGCCCTGGTGATTTTTTATTAAAAAAAAAAAAAAAAAAAAAAAAAAAAAAAAAAATCCCAGGTATGAGTGTTAAAGAATGCAGAGAGGTTTAGATAGTGAATTTGTCATACCAATATTTAACTATGAACGTGTTTGTAATTAGAAGAAATAGAAAGTCGTATTTTATAAATACCACTCAAACTAATGTATGCCAATGGACCAACCTAATTTATAATGGCGAAAATTATATATTCCTGACAATCCACCAATTCGAATGTTGCCAAACTTGACAACTCCAGCAAAACCCAAGAAGAATATGTTAGGTGCAGCCCATCCACCATAGTACCTAAAACACAATACACATCACTCTTCTAAATTACAGAGTATATATAGCAGGATAGCATATGAAATCTTATATTAAACTGACTTATGTTGGTTGGTAATACAACTAACATATTTTCCCCTATTCAGTAAATTTCACTAACTATATCAGCAATATGATACTTACAGAACTTGATATAAACATGTGACTAGACATTAGAAATAGCTCTAGCAAGAGGTGCAAGATTATGTATAAAAATGTTCTATATATAAAGCACCATAGAAAAGTTTAATATTTGACTAGACATCAGAAATTATGATCACCATAGATTAGATTGACCATCCCAAGAATGTGCTCAAATTAGCTGAGCTCAAAGCAGATATGGTATCCGTGAGAAAAGAGGACTCCAACCTAGAAGATATTCTAAAGGAGGAGGCTAAAATGACAACATACAACAGGGAAAAAAATCAGGTAGAAACATTGCCAAACAAAATAATAACACACTGAAATCCCTTACAAAAATACCATTCATACAAACTATCCAACTTAGAAGAGAACTGCTGCTGTTTATCTCCTTTCTTTACCTCAGAAACAGATTTTTATTTCCAGGTCTAAGAAGATTACTTTATCTCATGTTATCCTCAATCAAACACAAAGATAAGAACCAAGTTAAGCAAAGAATAAGGCATAACCCTTCTTTCCAGACACCGATGATCCCAGACCAAAAATAGAATAATTTCATTTTGTAGAAAAAGATAGCATTACAATTCACCATAGATTAATCATTAATAAAACTAAAAAGACTTTACAATATCAAAATCAAGGGCACCAAACCCACACTAATGTTTCCTCCATTTCATAAATTAATTCACCACTTTGACTAGCATGCTTCCCAACAGAACTTTACCATAGATACCTTTAGTTATCTACAAGTAAAATATACTCCCTCCATTCCCAAAAGCTCAACTCACTTTCCATTTTAGGGTATTTCAAAAAGTTTAACTCACTTATTTTAATCCAATTTTGGCAAACCATTATCAATATTTTAGCCCTCATACCCCACACTATCTACACATTTCCACTCACACTCTCTTACTCATCTTATTGTTCTTAAATCCACCCATCTTTTGCTTAATCTCTTCGACTTTGTCCACCTCACTTTTTCCAAACTTTCCAAGAAACACAAATCTATAGAAAGTGAGTCGAACTTTAGGAAATGGATGCGGTATAAAAGGTTGATATCATGAATTTGTACAATGGAACTAACTCAACAAGATTTTAATCAATAGCATTTGTTTTTAATAAATTAGTAACAACATGTGATCAAAATATGTACAGTATATGAAATTATGTGCAAAAATAAAAGTGTAGCAACTATTTTGAAACAGAAGATATTAAAAAAAAAAAAAAAATGCAAGTAGAAACATGCATATTCCACGATCCACACTGTAAAAACATGCATAATCCACATCCAAGCTTGTGGGGGATAAGAGCTGGATCATGAAATTACTTACAGTTCCCAGAGGTAATTGGAAGCTTCGTGATTTCCACCAATAAAAATAGTTGGCACAGGAGCTAATTCTTCTCCAGAGTAGTATTTCCAGAAAGTGTTCATTTGCCTATATTTAGGTTTAACATTTAAACTCTCAAGATCCTTTTTATTTCTAACAGCCTGTCATAAAGATAAGATCAAGCCAATTATCAGTCTAACATGAATTTCAAAGATTTTCACACAGTCAGCACTCAGCACTATACATATTCTACAGTTTCTTTACAATGAAAACACATTCGTGAAAAACTACAATGAGTAGAGTCTGCCAAATTTACTAGACACTTGTAGCAAATGCTTCTGATGCAAATCAAATATAATCTAAAGTAAAACAGGTCTGCACAATCCTTAACATATTGAATACACTTTTTAAAACATCCCAATTGCCACCAAATGTAGCCGCAAAAGGTTTCAATATTTGTGATATAAGTGTGTGCAAGAGCTGAATAAGTGATCCTCCAATGGTGAGTAAAAAATCTGCATCTTACAAGATAATCCCTAAGGCACTTTCAAAAATCAATTTAACCGGCTCACAGTCACCACTTTTCCATTACAAAATTCATTATTTATCATATATCAACATTTTGTGTCCCTAATTGCTCGAAACATATATCGACACCAAACTCATAATTAAAATAGCCCGGGCATTAAAGTGAAATTTGATGCAATAATCCAACGTTCACCCATAAATTCTATACATCAGAAATCAACACTTAATCCCACAATAATATCAGTCATTCTACCCTATGTACTACCTTAGAGAATCAGATTCATATTCGTGTAAATTCTGCAGCTATGAATATACAATGAAATCAACAACTACTACTATTGAATCAACATAACCCTAATAGTTCACAAACTACGAAATTAATCAGAAATATACTAAAGTTAAACTAATAACGAGGAAAATTTGTAGAAATTATCATAGAGAGAAAAAAGAAAACCTGAAAGTCGCCGCAGCAAATGAGAAGGTCGATTTTAGTGTTTTCTTCTCTCTCTAAATCGGCAATGGTTTTGTAGACATTGTCGAGGTCACCATGCATGCATCCTTCCACTGCTATCTTCATCCTTCTCAATTAATTGTCTTTCTGAAGAAGCTTAGGGTTTTTTCTAAACCCAACAATTATGTCTGTAAACCGATCACTAATATATGAGTTTGTCAATCTGAATTTTAGTGGAGCTGCAAATTTTATGGGTGCTGTGTCGTCACCCATCAACCGCATACCATAATGACCATCAGTAAAACATGACCAAAATCAAACTACCATCACACATTCACATCATTTCGAGGGGATCCACGAGACAATCTTTCTAGTCTATTTTGGAGTAGGGCCAAGTCAAGATAACCTTTAAAGAACGGAGAGAGTAACACTTAAAATCTTAATCAAAACCCAAAATTCCTAAGCTTCTTCAGAAAGACAATTAACTTAGTAAGCTTTTAAATATTATATTTTGGGTAATATTTTTTTATTACCCAAAATATTTTTAAAAATAACTTTAAATTAAAATATAATAAAATAACTTTGAAATATTTTTTGGGTAACAAGAATAGGATATAATATTCCGTGCTTTAAAGCACGAATAATATTGTATCCTATTTTTTGGGTAACAAACACACAAAAATCTATAATAACCATCTTTAACTTTAAAATATAATATTACCCAAAATATTTTGGGTAAGAAACAGAAAATCAAAAATATCACCCAAAATTTGTTGCTACTCTCATCTTCCTTATCAAGACCCGTAATAAAGATTACCCTCTGATCACATCCACGAACAGGGTCATCAATTCTGACCTTAGCACCAGTTTCGTGGCGTATTTGTGATAAGATATTGCTCTTCTTTTCAATTATGCTTTCAATTCTAAAAGATGGACAAAGAACACAAAGAATGGCACCTCCAGATAAGGTCTTCCTAGGCTGTTTTGGTGAGTTAAGACTTGCCGACTTTTGGAACTTTTTCCCATTTGAGTTCTCATGGTTTCGACTATGTTGTCTCTTTGCAGGTGTTAAAGAAAGAGACATGTTGAGATTATTGGCCCAAAGTCAGCACTAATTTGCATGGAATGCAGAAAATATAAAAATTCCTACAAAGGTGAGTTCAACTTACAAGAATGAGCTTTGGTAGCAACTTAAACCATTAGGTAGCAATTTAAGCCTTGTTATGCACTCAGTAGTTAGATAGAGATAAAAGAAACTTAATAGCTTTAGCCTATAGCAGGCTAGCAGCTAGCAAATAGCTTGTCTGTTAACAAGGTCAATTTGACTAACAACTTAAAAGGTGTTTGGTAAGTCAAATATAGGCATGGTTTGTGTGGATAATTCATTGCATTCTATACTAGCATATTTGACCATGAGGTGTATGCCTATAAAAATACAAATGGGATCGAACTATTTCATAATAATTCTTGAAAGGAGGAATTTATTGAATATTAGTATTAGAATTTTAACAATGCATGTTTTCAATTGTGAGTGCAAAATTGAAAAAGAAGTCCACAACAAAGAGAATGAGAAATTACAAAGGGGGACAAGAATTCAAGAAGTCTAATACTCCACATGACCAGAAAAAAAAAATTTAAAATAAAAAATCCAATCTCGAATTTCAATAGAGAAAAAGACGTGCGCCTAAATAGAAGCTAAAAATACCGCTTGATCCCATGAAGAAACCAAAGAAGCCTTTGAACCAAAGTACCCCTAACCACCCAAAAAGAAGACCTTTTTTCCCCCCATATTTCACATGTAAATTACCAATAACCAATAGTGGGACAAACCACTATAAGTAGTTAATGCAACAGAATTGTTGCTGTAGGACAATACAATAACAAATGATTCTTTAACTCTTCATTGGAAGACATAAAAAGCACAAAATATGAGAAAAGGCCTTGATTGCTATTTGAATAAATGCAAATCAATGAATTACCGGCTATAGAACAAGTCCTTCCAAATTTCAAGTAGAATGAGGAAAGTTTGAGAATAATGATTTTTTCTTTTTTTTTTTCATAGGTGATGATTAAAGAAAGGCCAACTAAAGGACCCCAATCCAGCCACACTCTCCTATCATGATTCCTCAAAATCCCTTTGATTTTATGCATGAAACTGTTATATTTAAATTAAGAATAATTGGATCGGCTAAATGAGAAAATAAGAAAACAAAAAGCGTACTAACCCACCATCTTTTCCTAGGACTTGTGACACAATTAAAATTCTTCATAGAATTAACTTCCATATGCCTCCTTCTCCACCCCCCCCCCACCCCCCCACCCCCTCCAGTCTTCCCCGCCTCAAATTACACGCATACATATACACCTTGATAAGCAATAATTTACAACTCATTCAATATTCTTGTGGTTTAAACCAAAGACATAAGCGTGCTTTACCATTATGAGTTCAAAAAGACGCTTAAGAGTTCAACTGTTCATAACTTCATGTATCTCAATATTTTATCTAACACTCATCTTACTTTTGCCTCCCTTTTCCTTTCTTCCCCCATTTACTCCCAATTTACCTTATATAGCATTCCTACTTTAACACATCAACATTACTCCAATGCCTCGAAAAAGCACCCGCCGGGGCAGCAGTTGGTTAAGAGGGGTCTAATGTACCAAGATTCAACCTTGAAATATCAAACACGTTGTTTTCAATTGACCCTTGATTCAAAACACAAAGTCTGCTACTTGATCTCCCAATTTCTATTTTAGACTACAACATTACACTAATTTCAACTGAATTCAAAAACCCATGAAAGATAACACCCATAAATTCAATGTTAAAATGCTATAAACTTGTACATAAACATATTCAAGCATATGAAAATGCATAAGCCCAAAAATGTTTGTCCTTTATCAACCGTATGGTGAAATATTAATGAAATTTCAGAGAAAGAACCCTAAAAAAACCAAATTCATAAAGATTTAATTAAATTTACAAAACCCTAATAAAAGAGAAGCAAAGAGATCATGTTACCTCGTAGAAGAGCAGCAAATTTTATTGTGAATTACCTTGTTGTTCTTCTATAATAGTGTTTATTTTCTGTTTCTAATTTATTAAAGCTCAGTATTTTGAGAAAATTAAAGAAAATGGGCAGGTTCACAATTGGATCGCACAGCGCGCTCTGTTTTGCCTGTTCATCTAAATTATTTTCGGCCGTTTATATTAATTACAACACTATCATATTTGGAAAGAATCCACCATTATTTTATAATTTCTCTCTCCCACTTTCACAAATATTTTATTACTAAATGGAATCGCACGGTTTTTTCATCTAAGATTTTTAATTAATTGATTTATTGTATTTAATAATTTCAGACAAAATTACAAAAGTTTAATTTTTTTTACTGTAATTTATAATGAATTTATTAAATATAAATAAATTATAAATATGATATTTTTTCCGTTATATAAAATCTTTAATGTGAAATGATAAATATTTAATAATTTAAATCCTAAATCATTATTCATTGTTTTACCATATCTTTTATTTCAATAGAATCACCAACCTCGTCCACAACCAACCTACTACATCAATGGATAAATTGAACCGTTATATGTTAGCCAAACTGAAATTGATATAAATTAAATCTTTACATTTATATAAAATAAATCAATATATTTACCAATAAATGAAAAATTTTTGCGATATAAAATCAAATCTATGCATTGGAATTTTTTCATTATCTCCAAAAATTACCAAAGGCATCGATATATTAAGTATACAACATCTAATCGTATGTCATTAGATAAACAAATAATTGTTAAGTATCCTAAATAAATACAATGTAACTAATAATTACAAATATATATTTAAACATAAGATTTTAAAAATTACCTGGACATTGATGACCTAAAACTAGCACAAAATTACTAACACAAAATTCTCTTGATGGGGTTTTGTTTTAATACAAAATTTTATTTGTGTCGTATGATGTGTTAGATCTGCATGTAAAAAAACATTTAGTAAATAAAACATAAACATATAATCGCTGAGTATCCTAAATTAATACAATGTAAGTAATAATTAGAAATACTAATTTAAACATAGGATTTTAAAAATTAAGCTAAATTACCCGGCCATTGATGACCAAAAATTAACACAAAATTAATAACACAAAATTCACTTGATGGAGTTTTTTATTGATATGAAATTTTGTTTGTGTCGTATGATGTGTCAGTTTATAATAGTAGGTATCACAAATTTTAATTTAATTATAATTAACGAACAATTTGTATTTCTTATCATAAATACTATCAAAATTTACCTTATAATGATAGGTATCAAACTTTATTATAAGCGTTTATCATTTAAATTTTTTTTAGTATATTATTTTTGGATTTCTTATACTCGTAGTATTGAATTAATAAATTTATCTTTTCCTATATTTTTACTTTATTTTTTTCATTAAAATAATTTAATTCGTGGATTATAATCTACGTGGCATTAAAATTTTAGTTATATCAAATCTAATTCGTTACTTTTATCTAGGTGGCGACATAATTTTTTAATTCAAAAATAAAATACAAATCTTTCTTCTTCTTGGTCGAAATAAGTATATTTCATACAATGTAGGTTAGAACCCGTGCGATGCACGATTTATATAAAATCTATTTTTATAATTTGTACATTTAAAAAATTGGATAAATAGAAATAAAAATTATGCAGCTTGTACAAAAATATTTGTAATTTTATAGTTTTAGATTTTCATCAAAATTATGATATAATACCTGTTCAACGTCGCCAAATACATATTTCAAGGTAGGAGCCCATTTATTAGTGTGCTATTTACAATTGTTTCATTTTTTAAAGATAAATTGATAGAATGTAGTTGTAATGTAGAAGCTTCTAATATTCAAATTTCAAAATTGCTAAATGTGGTAGCTCCAAAAAAAATAAAAATAAACAAATAAGACATTATCCTTGCATTTAGGCGAAATTTTTATTATTATTTGAGTGACATGTGAACAGTAATGATGTCAGAAATGTTTTATTTTAGTAATAATTAATAGATTATTAAACTCTTATAGTCTCATTTTGGCCCTCAGACTATAAGTTTCCTATAATTATGCGTCATACCTAATATTGCGAGTATAAGATTTGTACTTCCTGCTATTCATTTTAGTTGATACTTTTTAGCTTTCGCCGCTTTTGAAAAACCGTTAGTTAAAATATATATTGCAATATTACTTTTATAGGGTTAAATTAAGAAAATAATCTTTTCATGAGATTTCATGGTTTTTTCATCTAAGATTTTTAATTATTTGATTTATTGTATTTAATAATTTCAGACAAAATT